TTCAGAGTATAAAAGCATTTGCATCTTTGTTTTTTGGGGACCTGTTAAGAAAATTCTCTGATGAAAAATGTATTCCCCTGAGAATTGCCCTATGGTCCAAAAGTTTATTTTCAAGTTAATTCATTTAATATCTAAACTATTTCATTTCTTCAATATAAGACAGTCTTGTTTGAACCCATCCTGCCACGACTCTTTGTACGCAGTTGTATTATCCCTGGTTGAAAATCTTTTAACAAAAACATTCAGAAAATTCACACAATACAGTGATGTGAGACAAATCAGCAATTTGCCTTTGGTCTCCTAAACTCAGACTTCTAACCACAAACCTCCCAGAGGTGTCAGGGTGATTGAAAGATAAGATCTCCTGAGTTCACATTATTGATAGTGCTTATTAAACACATTTTCTGTAATCAAACCATGATAAGCTTTAGCTGAGCACAGCACAGGAATGTGACATAGAGGCAAGTTCTACAAATTGCAATGATTATTTTAGGTTTCTGTAACATTTGATCTTTTACTAAGAAATTCTAAAAATGTGCTTTCTACCACTTTTTTCACCTTTCATAAAAGCATTGTCATTTCTTATGAGTCTACTAGCTAAAAATGTAATACATACATCATTTCTATATTTGTATTATTGTTCAAAGGCACCCATACGTGATTGAAATCAATAGGAAGAGGAGGCAAAATAAGCCCACTCCAAACACTTAACATTAACAAGGGAAAAGGCCAAAAATGTGGAAAAGGAGAAAATGTAAAATAAAAAATAAAAAATAAAAAAGCATACACACACACACACACACACACACACACACACACGGAACATGTGAATTGTTTATATGCTCCATACTCTCCAAGGAACTTTGTACTGTGTAATAAAAGAAGCTTTGTCCTCTAAGTTAAATGAAAGATTAATTTTCTTCTAGTAAAAACCGATTTTCTTCAAGAAAATTGAAAAATCCCAGAGGTGATATAAAACTCTGCAGCAAATACTCACTAAGTAATTAATTTGCAAACAAGTTACTTCTTTAGTTATTTCATTGCCATTGATTTGAAATTGTCCTCCTAGGAAAATTACATGAGATTAAAATAGACCCAACTCTCTTCCAGGGAGAGGGAGAGAGGATTTTATCAGTACTCATGAATATCCACATACTTCCCATCCTTCAACTGTTGTGCAAAGCCCTTAGGGCACACAGACAAGGTGGTCACTGGGTGAACTTGTTTGCATTTAAGGCTCCAGTGACTCACACCTTTCTCTCAAGTCCACCCCTCCCCTTGGCTTCAGGGAATATTTCCAATTTCCTTTCAACATCTCCACCTGGAAATCCCCTGACACACCAAAATTAGCATTTCCAAACTGAATTCAATATCCACTCACAAACCAAAACCTCATTCTTTGAAGGAGTCACTTGTCCAACTCTCAGAATCTCAGAGTCATCCTATTTCTCCCCCTCTGACTCTCCTGATCTAATTGGTCACCACAGCTCAAGGATGCCTATGAATTCCATTGTTTACCTCCCCTCCCATAGCGAATTCAGATCTTTCAGTGTCTTTCCTCATCTGTGAAAGCATTTTCTTGACTGTCTTTATCAATAGCAGTCTCTCCCCTCTAAGTCCCTCCTCCAGGTTGCTCCCAAAATTGTATTTCCAAAAAGCATTTCACTCCCCAGCTTAAAAGGTTCTATTACATTGTTCCTTATGAGGTAAAAATAGTCAAAAATTTTTGCCATGACACAAAATCCTTTGACAATCTCAGACAGTATATTCAAGCCATACCAAAATTTTTGGCCATTCTTTTTACATTGTTACTTCCATTTCCGTAGACTAGAATATCCTATTACCCCTTTATCTGCCTAGAAACCCTTATTCATTCTTTAAGAACTATTTTGAATTGGTACCTGAGACACACACACCCCTAAAAATAACAACTCCTATTTCTATTCTCTCAATAATATTTTGCTTAAACCAATATACTTATAATTCATATATGTTTAGAACATAATTATTTTGCCCATCTTTCTCATTTAATATGAGCTTCACAAGAATAAGGACTGCTGCCCTGCCAGTGTTTCTCAGTGGTTGAGGGTCAACCTATGAACCAGGAGGTCATTGTTTGATTCCCCATCAAGACACATGCCATGGATTCAGGCTTGCTTGATCCCCAATAGGGGGCGTGCAGGAGGCACCTGATCAATGATTCTCTCTGATCGTGATGCTTCTATCTCTCTCTCCCTCTCCCTTCTTCTCTGAAATCAATGAAAATATATTTTTAATGAAAGAATAAGGACTGCATCATGGTCCCCCAAATAACCCCAGGACCTGGAACATATTAGACACTCAATAATGTTAAATGAATAAGTACAGACAGTCCTTGGGTTATGTCGGGCTCGACGTACATCGTTTCATGATTACGTCGCTATCTCCCATTTATTTATTAAAAAAAAAAAAAAAAGTTCCGTCATTTCGACGTCTGTTACATATGTGCTTTATGTTTTTTTATTATTTATTTACCACAAGTAAAGGTCAGGAATTGTTATCTTTCTTTTAAATTTGTTTACTGTTTCACTTCATTACTGCTGTGTATGTGCTCCACATGAGTGACATAGGTGCTTAAGTAGGTGGGTTCCAACTTATGGCAAAAATCGCGTTACGTCGCGCCGTAGGAATGGATCTCCGACGTAACCCGAAGACCTACTGTACATAGAAAAGTACAGAGGGTAAGCATGGTTGGTAACTGTCCTGCAACAGGCTGAGAAGAGCAAGAAAAGCAGGGCAAGAGATCCTATTTACTGGATATCGGAGGATGCTTGTTTCCCAGTCCAAAGACAAAGACTCATAATGATGAGGAACTCAAGAATTTAAAAATCTTAGCTTTAGTTATATAGTTAATGGGCCTGGTAATTAATGCATGTAGAAAGCTATTGTTCCAGGGACTGGAATGGATGGCTGGACTTGCCCTGACTTCAGGAGGCCCACAAGCAATTCCACCTCTGTGCCCCAGGAGGACTGTGAGGGACCTAGAAGGTATCTGAGTCATTGTGCTCCAGGGAGAGAACATCAGCTCCCCAGACACAGATAATCACCAGTCGTCAGATGAAGGGATGCTCGGAAAACCACCAGATTGCAGCTTTTATCTGATTAGTCATTTTCCCTGAATTCCAAACCCCTTATCAATTGTTTTCCTGAATTCCAAATCCTTTACCTACTTTTTTCTTCTCATAGAAAGGGTCAGCTTGAGATGAGCTAGGAGACAGGGTTTAGGGTGTATAGCACACCATCTTCTCAGATCGTGGGCCATCTGAATTAAGCGCCATAAGGATTCAGCCTTGTCTCTACTTACTGGTTCTGCTAGTGACAGGTAGCACGAACACCGACTTTCCTGGTTTCAGTACTGAGTGATTCCCAGCCAATTCTCTGAAGCCCAATAGGTCTAGAAGTTATATAAATATCTAAGCTTTCAAAAGCTTCCAAAAATAATAGCAATAACATTAGCATGGAGTGCTTCTTATGTATTGAGTACTGTGTTAAATGCATTGCACGCACTATGTCATTTGTTGTTCATAGCAGCCTTTTCAGTCAGATTGTCTATTTTTATCCTTGTTTAACAGATGAAGAAACTGTGGTTTTAAATTACTGGCCCACGGTTATAGAGTCAATATATGGTAAAACCATAATTTGGACCTAAATAATCTGAAACCACAGTCCACACTCTTAAAGAGCCACTTAATGCATTAGGCTAGATTCGGAAGGTATTTTCAGATATGTATTTTCCTTCAGGATATATTGGGTATATAATTGTCCCAAACACTTAAAGTAAGTGTTTGGTGCAGTATGAATAAATTAATGAGTAAGTGAATGAATATTAATTCTGAAGCTATTTGTTTGTTGTTTATGTCACTAAAGGGTTCCATTGGGTTGTAGAAAAGCCACAGTTAGACAAGCAAGTTGTCCCAAACTGCCCTTGGGACTTATAAGTAGACCCTATTTCCTCATTCTTCTTTACAAGAGCATTTGAGCCATCTTGAGCCACTGCAAGATCAAACATATGACCAATCTACTTTTGGGTGGGTTTTTTTTTTTTTTTGGAAAAAAATTAGTGTATTTTTTGTACCACTAAAAAAATTTATTATTTCTAGATAAGATTATACCTACTAAAAGTGGTGATTTCACTTTTAGTGTTAATGGAACTCCCCAACTTAATATAATTTCACTTTTCTTTTCCCAGCCTCAAAAACATGGCTCAGAGTTAAGGATAAAATAAATGTAATACTAAATAAAATCTACAGGGTAAGAAGCAGTAGAAACACATATATTAGTTCAATTTAGTAGATAGTATTATTTAAATTGTTTAAATAGAGTCTGACATGTGCCACCTGATAGAAAGAATTGAGGACTTCAGAACTATTATTTTTTTAATGTCTACAAGGGCTGTGGTGTGTTTTTACATCATCCACTACTCCTTGGCCTTTTAGAGGGATTCTGACACTTTGTGTTGAGAAAACTCTGAGGAGGCCTGGGCATTTCTAACAATAGACCACCCAGATAAGATTAAAATCAAAATTCTATTCTCAAAGTCCTTCCATTTCATTTTCTCCTTCAGAAATAATTCCCAGCCAATGTCAGGACTTTTCATTTTCATTCCGTTGACACAAGTCATTCTGCCTTTCATCTTTCTCTGAGAATAGTAGGTCACTCTTCTACTTTATCTACTAAAAGGTAACTCCAAGCAGGTAATTTAAAATTTTAATGGACTGATGAAACCTTTTTCTTTATCTTAAAACATAATATCAAAGGAAGCAGTACAAACTCAATGTCATCAACAGTGACATGAGTGACAAATGCCCTTAGCCATCCATGTACTTGGGCCCTTCTGCAATTGTTCTTACTTTCAAAAAAAAATTTTTTCCTATTTGATGCGTAAATTTTCTACCTTTGATTTTTCCTACTGTCACTTACTAAGTTATAACATAATAAGAAATATTCAATAGACCACTTACCTGTTAGAACTTCAACTTGGAAGCAGAAGAGAAAGAAATACCAAAGGTCCGACTTCATCTTTGCCAAGAACAGATAAAATCCTCTTCTACAGAGCTGAAAAAAATAAGAGCAAAATTCATGTTCCTAGATGTTTTCTACTTGCTGGAAAGGAAGTGGCTTTGTGGGGGTTGATGCAATGTCACACTTACCATCAGGGCAAGGATGTGACTTTTTTAAAATTTATCTTTATTGTTGAGAGTATTAAAATGCCCCCTCCTTCCCTCCAATGACCCCACCCCCCTCCCCCACCCCCCTCCCCCACCCCCCTCCCTAAGCAAGGATGTGACTTTTAGTTGGTGGCAGTGGCTGTAGGAGAGGTATGATTGCTACTCGGATTGTTTAGGGTTTTGGCGACATAGGAAAGGTCTACCCTCACTGTGGTTCCAATAAAACAAGTGACAGAGACAATGCCTATTCTTTTCCGAACCACCCTACTTTTCTGAAAGTTAGTTATTGGGATAGCAGAATCTAAAAATTGCCACATGATGAATAACATATTTTGACACATTTCTGTCTTCTATTTGGCTGAGAGTTTGAAATAGGACAAGAAATAAATGATATTACAGAAATTGCAATGAAGATACCTAAAAGAAGAGTAACTTAGTAAGCTGAGAAACAATATTTACATGGCATTCACTGTTAATGATCGTTTTCCAAATGATGGAGTCAGTTTTAATCCAACATAAGCCCTGCTCTGCACATTACAAAGGAGTCTGTAGAAACCAGGGACTCCACATTTACAACCTCAGATGAAAGCAAGAAAATGGAAAAGCCTTCCCATGATTTCTCTATCCCTGTAGGGGGATAGAGTAGACAATAACAGCAGTAATAATAATATAAATAATAGTATTTATATGTACACAAATGTTTTATGTGAAAGAACACATGTTAATACAAAACATGTATAAAATTAAGTACAAATAGTATATAATATACTTAACATGCATAAAATGTAATATAAATATAGCTAATATTTTTACATTGTCTCACAAGTATTTCAGTGAATTCGTTGTGTATATATATTTATATTATACTTTGTACATCTATTAATCTATTTAATCCTCTTAACCATCCTATGAAATGGGAACTACTAATCACCCATTCTACAGATAAGGAAAACTGGGGCACAAGAGTGTAAAGTCCCTGGCCTACCTTGTATGATTAGTAAGAGGGAGGGCTGGGATATGAGGAGCCACTGGCTCCAGGGTCACTGTCTCCGGAGTCCTCAGTCTTAACCAAGCAGGTAGAACCGTTAGTGCCAAGGCTTCTGAGAATACCACCCAGCGTCTAAACCAGCTTCCAGGAGGTTGAATCCATGCTTGGTTTCTGAGAAGTGACCGGGCAGAACCAACTCTTAGCCTGCAGAGGTGACATCCAGGTAAAGTTGGAATCAGTTGGGCAGGGCAGCAGAGGTGTCAGTCTAAAATGTCCAGACGTTAAAGTAGAACCCAGGTTTGGGGCTATAGGGGACTCATTAGGGATACTGGACCAGAGCCAAGGGACTCCAGAGGCAAAGTAGGGGGCTGATGCTGCAGTGATTTCCCTAAGCTGCTGCTGCTGTTTTCCCAGGCACAATTTTTAGGGCCCATGAGCCTCAGTAGTGGATGTGAAAGAAGCTATGTGAGAGACTGAGCTGGCCTGAACAGTAAAGATTGGACCCCCAGAACCCCTAGGAACCTGCTACCCAGATTCCTCCCTTTCCCTTCCACTGTACCCTGGGCAGCATCAAGAGGAAATGCCTCCAGATGCATGGTCATTACATTGGAGTCTTTTTCCAGCAAAGACACAGGCAGTGAAGGATAACTGACTTTTTCTAACCATCTTGTGGTCGAGCTCCGGAACTAAGTACAGTATGGAGGGCTTTTACTTTATTTGATAAAAGCTGCCACAGATCTAGAGTTCAACTAGCTATGCAGGGGGTAATAAGATGGACTGGGAGTACATTATATGTACTCAATACATGCTATGTGTCAGACATTGTGCCTCACATAATTACCTCATTTAGTTCTCACCGCTGTAAGATAGGTCCATTATTATTCCCATTTTAGAGGTGAGGAAACTGATAGAGAAATTAAGTAACTTGCCTCGGATCACACAGTCGATAAGTGATTGAACCACGCACATCAGTCCCAGATAAGGAAACTTTGAATTCCACACTTAATGACCACACTATACTCTCACGTTAGTCTTCATTTATCTAGCCAGAAATTACTGGTAACATGTTTTTTTTTTGGCCTCATATTTTGATAGAAGAAGGGTTCTTTTAGGTCCTAGACAAAGTTCCAAAATATTTGAACGCAAGAGATTTCCTAACAAAATTTAGGTGTGGCATTTCTATCTCAAGAGGAGAAAATTACACAACAATAAACACAATTACTTACCGTTTTAAATATTCAGAACTACTTTTTGTGTGCCTGCAAAATAAAATGGGCAAAAAATTTCCATTCACCGCACAGGAAGCACTCTCGGTTGCTTTTATGTTATTTTTTTTTTATTATTCCATGACTTAAGAAGGTTTTGATTTGTGTGTGCAGATGCCTGGGGCAAAGGTGGGAAATGGAAAATCTGTTACATTAAAAGTAGAATGTTTATTATGACTTATCTTGTGGGCACCAGAGTTCAAGATAGTGTGTGCTTGCTTTTCTGAAGTTTCACCGGTAAATATCTTTCTTTTGCTCTGCTTGAAACTCACGGAGAGCAACATCTACATGTTGAGGGGACCCACACACGGAGGCCATTGAATCCAAACAATGGGTTAAGAAGCACCTGTGTGTCACCTGAACTTGGCTTGCCTTTTTGAGATAGAAAAGCCTGGAAAGAGAGGGTTCTTCCTCATCAAAATTGCTTCTCTTCACTCATTCCCTTGATTGTTGAGTGGCAACACCAGCCAGACACTTAGCCAGGAATCTGTGTGCCGGCCTTCTCCACTCTCCACTAATCTATGCCTATAAAAGGCTAATTTGCAAAGTGTCTCCTCAGGAGTTCTACTGGGAGACCAGGAGCTTGTCGCTCACTATGACATGCAGTGACCACCAGGGGGCAGCGCAGAACGAATGGAGGCCCTGGCCGAGCAACTGGAAGCCCCCGATCTCCGGCCAGGCCTAGGGACCCTCCCTGTTCGTGAATTTCATGCACCGGGCCTCTAGTTTACCAATAAGCCCCATTCTTCTATTTTCTTCTGTCTGACATGTGTTTTTCTCTCTCTTGCCAGGGTCACTGCCTTAGATCAGGCCTCCAGCATGTCTCTCCTGGTCTTCCTGTCCCCTTGTTCCATTTCAATCCACCCCCACACCAACCAGAGAAAGTAATCTTTGTAAAATGTAAATCTACTCATCTGTGCTTCCCTGCGTAGCATCCTGTCAGTCTAAGGTAAGGCCCAAACTCCTCATAGGACCCTTCATGATAGGCCTCCAGCTCAGCCTCCTCTCCTGACACATTTGTTCCTTCTTCCTCCTGCACTGACAGTGCCAGAACTATTGAATGATGCTGCCTTCTCCACATTCCCAAGCTAAGGCTTCCCCCACCTGCCAGGAGCCCTCTTCTTGCCCCAACTCCCCCTCCTCACCAGCCCAGCTTCTTTTCTTCTGCAGAAATCCTACCATTCTTCAGATCTTTGCTTACATGCCCATCAATTCATCAAAAAAGCCTTTCCTGATCCATTCGTTTCACTTCCAACCACTTCCATAACTAGTGTCCATTAGGTAGCTTTTCTGCATCCTCCTAAAGCCCCTCTGTGTCCCCCATTCTAGAACTCATCATGCTACTGTAAAGGCCTGTTTGCTTTCTTACAGCCCCTTCTGTGAGCAGCATCAGAACAAAGACCAAAGATGCCTTCTCTGCAGCCATATCTGCAATGCCCAACACAGGGCCTGGGGCACAGCAGATGCTCCCTAACTGTCTCAACTGAATGAGTATTTGAAGAATTTTTGACGTTTGAAGGAACTATTGCCAACTAACACTTTGCTCTTTGAATCATAATGCATAATGTGAGGGCAGAAAATTATCAAGATGTTTTTGTATTTCAAGTTGAAATTAATCCAACAAATATAAAAAATAATCATCCTCAAAAAAAAAAAATCATCCTCATTTAGCTCTTATCTGATCATTTGTCCATCCAAGTCATCAAACAAAAGAACCTCCTATTTTAACAGCCAAATCATATTTTCTCATTTAAAAGTTATTAATTAACCCCATAAAGCTCAGAAAACCAATTGCACATTTCCACAAATAATAAATAAGTCTCAGTGTAAGATACGACTATGACGTGATATGACTGATACTTGTAACATAAATATCCATCTTAGTCACTTTGGCAGCAAAGCTTTCATTCTAATGATGGTGCTATCGCTCAAACCATTATAAAACACCCCTGGACCCCATTCCCTCAGTCCTGTCTTTTGGTCCTGAACTGCCTTCTTAGCTCCTTCCCTTCATTTATAAATCCTCTAATGATATGATTTATCTAATCATTAACACATACAAGCACATTTCCTCAGATACTATAACCCCTGTCACAGACATTTCTCTCTTCTTTCTTAATAAAGACAAGTCCACACTCAGTCTCTGCCCCTCGGTGCTTCCTAGATGCTCCTCAACCCACTGTAGATGGGTTTCTGTCTCTAACATTCTACTGAAACTGTTTTCCCAAAGCCCACTCATGGATTCCACATTGCCAACTCCAACCAACACTCTCTATCCTTCCCTTCCTTCACCTCTGTGAATCACTTGATGCTATACTCACTTTATGTTGATTTTATACTTTATCTTGAAACAGTTCTACCCATTCCTGACTGAGTTACCAGAACGAAGGACCATTCTGCTTATTTTAGGTTGCTTTGTATACCTCTACTCTGATTTATTCTATGTTAAATTTAAAATCTATACTCTCAGAAGAAAAATCTTTATCTTCTTAATTTCAAACAACACTTCATTGAAGCTATTCTGTGGTCCCCATGTATGATCAGAATCATTGCTCTCTTCTTTTTAACTCCCATCTCTTAGACCCCTTTCAGCTTGGGTGTTCCTGCCAGTTGTAATTCCTCTCTTCTCCTAAATGTTGATATTGATATATTCCCCAAAAATTGAGCTTCAGTTCCTTGGCTTTCCTCATTCCATCTACTCTCCCTGAGTGA